TAAGTCGGGTGAAAGGATCAGAGAAAGTCGAAAAACAATGCTGGAAACTGAGGATCTTGGAGTCTCGATCCTTCAAGATTTGCACCAGCAACGCCAATCTCTCCTGCACGCCCATAACGCGGTACATCATTAAGTGTTTTAAATTTTATGTATTGCTTGCATATTAACTTTCCACACGATTTCAAATTTTAGTACATTTCATGTTCATTATAAACTATCTATCATTATATAAAAAGAATAACTTTTTTACAAATTTAGAAACTTTTTCCCGCCAAAATCATTAAATATATCCTAATATAGTAATTGTTGGACAAATCTAAATAGGCAAAAAAATCGGCTCATTTTTTTTAGTTTATCAAAACCGTTGTTTGACAATAAATATTTGTTTTTATTTTTCCTATTTTTAGTATAAATCTACACGCTTATCTCTTCTGTTACAAAATCCCATTGCATACGTCTCCCGTGTTTAAAAAATTTCATCTCTTATCTATACAGATTTAAAAAAATAAAATAAAATAGAAACCAATTCATAATTACTACTAGAAATCCATTATCTTTAAAAAGAAAAAATAAAATAAAATAGAAATCAATTCATAATTACTACTGAAAATCCATTATCTACTTTAAGAAGCTAATTTTTATCGGTCTAATTACTAATATTTTTACAAATATTATAAGCTAACCATACAAAAAAGTATAATAATAATTTTGAAATGGTGTGTAATCAAATTTTTTTATATTATCTTGTACAAAATAATTTTACATTGTTCGACCCCGAATCTTTTATTTATAATTATTAAGTATTGTTTATCTTCCTCTTTAATTTATAATTATTTTTTTCGCTTCTTTTTTTTTAAATAGGATCAATAGTAGTTTCCACTTGGGTCATTGAGTGACTCAAACTCGAGGTCTATTTATAATATTGTTAATTTAATATTATTTCCGTGCATCGCACGGGTATACACTAGTTATTATCTGATTAGAAATGAATTAAATAATGCGCTGAGGCAAATACGATGGTCTTTTAGGTATTACATTCTAAAATTTTAGTTTTTCCCCCTTATACGTTCTACTTTTCAGTTATTTTCATTTTTTTTTTTCAATTTTTTGGACATTCGAGATCTGCCCGTCTTATGTCATTTCTCTTGCTGCAAACTACTGAGATCGAGCCGACTCTGTAATCGAGTTTAAGATGGTGAATCTTTTTATTTGTTTCTCTTATTTTTTCGGCAGCTCCATGGTGTGGATGACAACATTAGCCGGAGCAAAAAAATTCTGACAAATATGTCAAGAAGAATGAACAGAAACAAGTGGATCATTGGTTCTATTATCACGGTCCTTGTTATAGCAATACTTCTCATTCTTTACTTCAAGCTTACCCATTAACTTGCTGAACTCCATAATTGTGATTCCCTTTTTTT